GACTGCATGAGTTGCAAACTGACAGCAGCATTTCAGAAAGAGCTGTGCAGCATGAAAAAGTCACAATCCTCAGCTACATGCATAGAGAATGAATCACTGCAGTAAGTGCATGTGCATTGCATGAAAGTAATGCTTTTTAATAACACTCAGTCTCTGATATTATGAAAATAGAGTTTCTTCATGAGATTCATTTTTATCAGAAGTCAGAGAATCTTATATTTCTCAAGATCATCTTCACACACCTTGTTCATGAAATCAATGAGTGAAATCATCAATTTCAGTATTCTGCTCTTGATACTATTCAAGTGGCAGCAGAGTTCACTCTGACCACACTTTTTAAGTGTATATTTTCTAATTATTCACATTTATACAGATATATACTGATTATTTATTAGATAATGTTAAGACAATGACTCATCACAGCTGTGTTACTCTCACTGTGAGAGATACATGATTGATAATAAACATTGTAAAGACTCTGAGAAGTAAGTATTTTAAGAGTGCTACAGCTCTGTGATCTTGATTTTTTTTTATTTTTATTTTTTGTTTTTTTCTTTTTCTTTTCTTTTTTTTTTTATTGTGATTTTTTCTTGTATTTGTTTTGTTTTTTGTTTTTTATTTTTTTTTGTATTTTATGTTTTTTTCATAATTAAAATTATATGAATTATGATCTGTGTTCAGAAAAGTAATGATATTTAATAACACTCTCTGTTGAATTTTCAACAAATAAGCACTATATTATGATATTATGTAAGTGAGAAATGATTTCATAATTTCATTTGATGCCATTCTTAATAATGAGATCAGAATGAAAATGTAACTAAGAATTCAAACATATTCTTTATCTGAGACTAGATTTTTATTTGAAAAGTGAATCTGAGATCTTTAATATTTGAAATAACATGATTTGAGATCAATGTGATGAACACAAATCATGACCAGAAGTAATGCTTTTAGGCAATGTGACAACTGTAAAGTTTGATTCTGATCTCAGACACGGTCACACAGTCAGTCTATTCACAACTATCTATAAACTCATTGAATGATAGATACAATAATCTGAGTTTCTAAGCTGCTTTCATTTTATAATACACTACTGCCTCAGCAGTCAGAACTCAATAACAGATGCACTCTTATAATGAGAACAAGATATGCTAGCTGATATAACAGACATGTGCTGAATGAATTGAGAACACTGACTCTTGAACCTGAAGATATTAGTTAATCATGATAAGATCACTTATAGCACTATACATACTGCTCTGATTAAAACACTCTCTTTTTGAACTGATACTGATATCTTCACTTCTTCTACACTGAATAAACTGTGATATACAGCAGCTCAGGCTGATAAACTTCTTCAAACTCTCACTGAAGCAGTACAACAAGAAGTATCTCAATTCTCTTCAGAATTACATATAAAGACTGACATCTCAGAATGTTCAATAGATGACAGTAATACTCTGTAATTTTATGAATAATGCTGAGTCTCTCACTCTGAACTCTTATATATCTGAATAATACAAGAGATGTATAATTCATGTATAACTGAGTATTCAGACTATGAACAACTGTACTGAATAATCTCTTGAGAATTCTACTGATCTGAGATATTAAATAACATCAGATGTTTTGTCTGAAACTGCAATCATTGTTCTTTTATTATCTTATGAAAGAACTGTAGAAAAGATCTGCTGAAATCACTTAATATCTCTAATAGAATCTGATGAGATATAATAATTGACTTTACTGTTGATCTCTCTGAGAGTAAGAGTTATAAAAACATTCTGATTATTATGAACTGATTGAGTAAAGATGTAATATTGAAATCTTATAACAAGATAAATACTGAACAAGTCACTGAAGCTTTTCTATAAAGCTCATTCTATTAAATGTATGAATTGCTGAAATCTATAGTATTGAATCAGAGTTATTAATTTATGAGTACTCTCTGAACAAGAATCTGTCAAGTTCTCAAGATTATACACTATCTGTTAACTGTCTATCATCTCAAGACTGATGATATGTCAGAATGAACAATTTAGACTATGAAGAATTATCTTTATAAGTTCTGCAACTATTTATAAGATGATTGATATAATCTTCTTCTATATACTGAAGTTACTATCAATAACTGAGATGCTGTTTTAACAGATATAAGCCTGTTCTTTCTCATATATGAATATCACATGAAAGTATTGAATCTTCTAAAGATTACACACTTCACACTGAATCTCTGCAGTCTGATTCAGATCACTGACAATATAGTGATGAAGTTTTAAAATATCTGTGACTGAGCAGAAGTCTTTATAATGAGTGCTAAACAGAATTAAGAAGATTAAACTAATATTCACTAAGATCTCACTGAGTAATACAAGATAGAAGACCTGATGTGATTGAATCTTAAGAATATATAAATCACATATTCATCTTGTACACTGAATTATCATCATATTAAATATAAAGTGATAGAAGTTCTAGACAGTCATAATTACTGTCTTAATACATCATCAGAGATTTATAATGTCTTTTATATAAGCTTACTCTGTCATGTCATTACTGACTCATTCTCTTCTCAACTGACTTCTGATTAACAGTTATCAGAGATCATAGAAGATGACAATGAACTTAAGTGAGAGATTGAAGATATTCTCAATAAGAGATTCTGCAGCTGCAGCTGACAATATCTTGTGAAATGAATTAGCTATGATTGCCTGACCTGAACTCTGAGCTCTGTGTTATTCAAGACAGCAGCTCTTGACTGATGGGAACTACACATCTGTGATTCTATATCACTTCTGAAAAGAGGGGGCTAATATGATGAGCTGCGCCTGATCAATTATATCAACTATTCTGTTACACTTCACAGATTCCTACTCTTCTGATTCTCAGTCATCAATTCTTAGCTGAAAATCTACAGAATTTCTATTCTTCTACCCTGAAGCTTCACCGCGTACGCTACTATATATGCGTATAAATATTCACTCTGATTGCTGATTCTCACACTTTCTCTTTCTTTCCTTCTCTAATGTTTTTCTCTTTGTTATATAAGACCTATATATTATACCAATCTATCCGGCGTAGGCTTCTTACAAGATTAACTAATTAAAGGTCTTAAAAACATCTACAAGATCTGACAGATGAAAGATTTCAAATGATTTCTCAATATATAAATAATATATAATCATCTCAACTTGAAGCTCTGACTATGTCAGAATGCCTATATTGATAAAATAGTTAATATATATCATCTCACACATATCTGTAAGGCCTATACCTCACTAACTGATACTCTGTTAAAGTCTTTTAATAAGTCAGTTATATCTGTAAAAATTCATTATTATTAATAATATATTAGCTTCTGTATCTACTCAGCTGTGATGATACACTTTGATATTATATATACAGTGAGTAAACTAGCTATATTCATGACAAATTCATTAGAATATTACTTATCAGAGATGAATAAAATGATATCTTATCTATATAATACAAACAATCTCACTATTTAATATAATAATAATATTGACAGATCTCTATAACTTGATCTCAAATCTGATATTATTGAAGCTGTCAGTAATGTCTCTTTTACAGATAATTCAGATTACTGCTCTATATAAGAATATATCTTCAAACTATTCAGTGAGACTGTTGATTGAAAATTAAATAAATAGATAATTATAACTATCTCTATCACTGAAGCTGAGCTTGTTACTATTTTATAAGCTGATAAGAAGTCTATCTAATAAAATAGATTCTTTCAACATATTTAATTTAAATCTGATTACAAGATCTGTATTCAATGTAATAATTATCAAACTGTTAACATTCTTATGAAAGAAGACTTCTCTATAACTACAAAGCTTCATCATATTGATATATATGAAAGCTAGCTTCAAGAATATATTCAATTCAGTGATATTACAGTTAATTGAGTGTCTACAGCTCAGATGCTAGTGAATGGCCTCACTAAGACTCTGTCATATCAGAAATATACAGAATTTGTCAAGATACTAGGCCTAGTTGATATATCAGATATTATCAAGATATAAGCAGAATAAATAATCTATCTTGATATAATCTTTACAGATTTATCTACACTCTTTTTACTACAGATTCATCTACACTCTTTTTATTACAGCTTCATTTACTTTTTCATTTACATATTACATTCACTGAAGAGGGTGTGTCAGGAAAAAGAGGTTATACACTACTGAATATTATCAACATTGTATTACTACTATATTTCTCATCATCATCAGCTTACTACAATGCTCATCTAATACTCACTTATGCTAGCTCTCTTGGCTCGCACATATATTTTACTATAAATAGCTCTATCTTTTGTATGAAATAGATATATTAGATAGTGCATGGATAATATAACAAGCAGATCTTGATACACATAAGATTCATATGTCTCCAACATATTCATCCGTGACACCCATTCCGACAGAAAGACAAGAGGGAATTTTGGTATCAGAAGACAGCTGGGAATAGTGTGTTTTTGCAGCTTCAATCCGCCTTGCTTGAGGCTCATTGAATTCCGCTGCTCGAGCAAAGAAAGCAAAAATAGGACTACTCTCACTGCCGTACTCTAGCATGGCTGAAATATTAGCAGAGGCCACATAAACACCTTGTTCCCGCCATTTGGCACCCACCCGACCAATATGGGTTCCAAGAAGAGACATGAACTCATGGCCACAAGAGAGAAAAGAGAGGACAGAGAGCCGGCAAAAACAGTGTCCATGTGCTTTGACAAAATATGACATGGCTGGGGGGTAATCACTAATTGATTCCTGGGCCAAAAGAGGCTTGAAAAGAAGCAGGATGCTCTCCCTGGTGTTTGGAAAGGACTGGATGCAAACCAGGGATTTGGTGTAGAAGAAAAGCTGCTGGAGGAAATTGGGCCTAGACAAGACAGCAAGATGATGCTGAATTCTACCCACATTAGGGCTTTTATCAGCAGCTTTGTTATATCAATATCTTGCCACGCCTGCTCAAACCTCTCTATCCTGCAGGTTCACTTCCTCAAGTGCCATTCTGTATCTGCCAAGATCTCCAAGACATTCAATCCAGGTATTCTCAAAGCTAGGAACGCTCTCAAGCAGTAGGGTCATCATTGAATAGGCAGTATATATGAATGCCAGCATGTAGTCCAGCGAAGCAGGGAGTCTGTGTCTCAAGAACTTCAAGAAAGAATGAATTCCATGGGTCCACATCCTGGCTGGCATAGCATACTTGCTGGCTAATCTTTGAAGTGCCGGGCTGGCAGAGGGATGCTGTGAGGCCAGAAAAAAGTCGTGATGCTCGTGAAGCAAGGCTCTGTGAAGACCAATAAGAGCCTGCCATTGCTCAGTATTCAAATTTCCCTTGTTTTTGACCTGTTGTTGATCAATCTCAACGCATTTCTTTTCCACAAGGACAAGGCCAGCATAGATTCCGTGAACTTCATTGATGAGTTGCTCCTCAGTGATTCGCCGGGTCTTTGGTTGAAGGGACAGGGTGTTGACTGGCGCTGGAGAGTCCACTGGGGCAGGAGAGGTCCTGCTGGACAATGCTACCACTGTGGGATCAAAATCATAAGCTGGGTGGGTGCCATGATGTACGCGAACTGCATGAAGGTCTGGGGTGTAATGGGTAGGCTTGGGCCTTGTCCGCATGAAGACCTCATGGCAAAAGGGGGGATTTCCTTGGTCTGAAACGCTGGCCGGACGCTTTCTTGATCCTCGGGAAGTCAGGGACCTGTCGCGGAGCCGGAGGTTTTTCAAATTGGGGGCTTCGGGAGTAACAGTGGCAGAGCTACTCAAAGACAATTCTCATTAGCTACTAGTAGCCACCCACACAAAGCCAAGCCAACACAGCAAATATGACCTACAGACTTTGCAGCAATCCGCTCGCTGCTGATGACTGGAGTCCAGTACGAGGAGGTGCCCGGACCGAGTCGGCCGGCTGGGTAGGAGAGGTAGATAGCATTTGTAGGAGTAAAGTGTTGGTTTGGGGGAGGAGGGAAAGGCAGGTGGTTCACTGGAACAATAACATAGATGTATGATCTGGATGGTGACAAGAAATGTGTTCGTTCATATATTCATCCTCCTGACAGCGTCGCGTAGTCTTTGATCTGCCAACCCCTGGAGGCAAGCCGCCTTTTGCGAACCACAGTGACATGGTGGCTTGCCCAAAGTTTCCAGTTTACTCTTTCTGATTTGTCTGAAAGTGCCAAGATGCTCTGAAATCAAGCCGCGTTTCCAAGTAGCAAGGCAGCAAAAAGTCTCAAACTAAAATGGCAATGCGTAGGTGGATCAGAAGGCAGCCTCAGTTGTCCAGGTTGGGCCCGCGGGGACATCATTTATGTACAGAGTAAATCTTTGCCTTCCGGGCGGCGGCGGGTGCCTCGGCTGGTTCGTAGTGGATTAATGGACAACATTTCTTATCTACTGTCACTCAATCAATCGAGACTTCTGGATTGATCAAGGGACATGGCATCATGTGCCTGGTTTTTTCCCGTCAAGCTGTATTTCTGGGTTCAAGGCAACAAGAAAGCCTGAACAAAAATAGCAATAAAGAGGCAGGTGGAGCATAAACATATCATTCTCCTCACAGTAATCCAGAGTCTTGTAGGTGCGGTGAGATCCATGCCCATCCCCTATAAGAAGAGAGTATCTCCCTTTATGGCGCTTTTGCGTGAATCGATTGAAATGCTGGATTCATTGGAAGGCGATTCCATTGTATGCTCTCTCACCCAGCCTTCTTATCCAGCTCATCCGATGTTGAATCATCTTCTTTGCTTCCTCCTTGTTGTTGGTGTAGAGTGTCATATCTCCGCTGGGGGTTGTTTCCGGACCGCGATAATCTGGATATTCTTCAGGTCTGAATCCTCATTGTCTTTAACTGGTGGATTCGCTCGGAATTGTTCTATAGCATTGATATCTGCTTGTATTTGATTTGCATGGTCGCGTATAATTTGGGGCTGGAGGCCCACCTAGGGTGCGGATTGGCTGCTCACCATACTTTCTTGGTATTGGGCGATACCTAAAGTTCGGGCGAGCAGATTGAGCCATAGTATGAGTCAAATAGATCAGTGGTTGTGAAGATATTTCAAAAATTCAGTTGGATGAGATTGTTTTCACCCTTTGGGGTTTTGATCGATTGATGATTGATTGATGATTGATTGATTAGTTATGTCATCGCCGTCCCACCCGCCCCGTCAGCAGCTATACAGGCATGTCCACACGTGATTGCCAGCTCAATCATGTACTCTAAATACAAAAAATAAACAAAATAAACCAAACCCTTCTCCCTCTTCCACAAAAGGGCGGCTGGGACAGTCTATGAATCAATCAATCAATCAATTAGACTAGGGACAGCCATGAAGAAAGCTAATAATGTGGAAAGGAGTAGGGACACAGAGCGGACTAGGGAGGACCACATCATCACAAGAAACACAGACTAACCTGGGGATAGTTCGTGATTCATGTGGGTGGAATGTCAGGGACACCAGGGCCAATTAAGTCAGAGGTGGAAATGGTTTCGGCCGGAAAAACTGTCGGCAACTGAAAAGCATACCAAAAGCCATTCTGTAATATAAAACCAGCAAAATGTTACTCCTGCATAACCCACTCCCTCGCAAACATGATCTTTTGCCAGCGTTCATTACTCTCAAGCATATCAGAACCAAACTTCCGAGGCCTAGCATCAGGTCTGTTGTACTTCGATGAGGCGGAGTGAGGTTTGCTGACAGACAACTCACCATCCACTGCCAAAGTGAGTGGAGATGGGCGGCGAACTTTGGGGCCCAAAGGCATGGTGGTTAAATAGGTTGTGGCGAAACTGTAGACCGGTAGCAGCGTTTGGAGGGTATTCACACTGTGGCTGTGTTTCGATGCCATGCATGTCTGTGTTAAGAAGCTGGTTATGGGGGAGCTTGATATCACCCGATTCGGACGATGCTGGTGTTAAAGAAAGAAGGGCCTCTCATTCCATAGCCCCATAGGTCATTAGTGGTTGGGGCTGTGGTTGAAATTCCCATGAGCTGGTTGCAGGTGTAGAGTGCATATTGTCCATTGAGTATTCCAAGCGTTCAAAGTTGGGTGATACAGTGGATGGTACAGCGAGGTAGGAGAGGAGCTGGCCACTGGGTTCAATATCAACCACACTTGTAATCATGTCTGGCTTCGGGTCGGGGCTTGTCAGAGATTTGACATTTGTATCTGAGAAGCCATCTCGTCTTTCTTTAACAGAACTTGGCTTTTTGACAAAGTGTTCAATGTTTACTATGGTATCAGCGGCTATTAAACATAAGCATTATGTCCTTTGTTCATACAATATCTATGACTTCACCTCCACCTCGCACGATTCAGTAAAGAATGATAGCATAAGCTATAGTCTTGAATGAAAACGAGGAAAACAAGGGCGAACAGGTTGAGGTCGTGCTGTAGAAAACTCTTGAGTTCTCCTCTCATAGAAAATCCAATTCATCTAGCAAGTTTGTTAGTAACTTCCACACATAAATTAAGCAAGGGGCAATACCTACATGTACCAATTGGCGGGCTAACCAGAAGCAATGCGTAGCTCGCAGCACAGCAAGCGTTCTCTGACAGGCCTCATGTCTATCAACTCAAAAGTCGGCAGGATAATAATAGTGTTCACTCCAGGCATATCCATGCATGAGAAGATCCTCAGGCAAGTAGGATTTTGTTCCTGAAGTCATAGGGGAAAAGGTAGGGAATCTATCAATTTCAGGTTCAATGTCAATGCTATTCAGAAACATTACAACATGCTCTCAAGGGATTTGCTTAGCAACATATTTCATTGCTTCTGGAACTTGCGCGAGGCTGAAGAGAAATGCCAGCAATGAGTGTCCGCAGGCTAGTGTGCCTTTGTCGACTGCATGTACAAGAAGTATGGAGCTGGTACAGAACATCAGCGATATAGCCAGGTCCACCTGATAATGAGATGTGGTGTCTTCAGTCCAAGGAAGTTCAGTAAAGGTCTTGAATTCACTCTTTGTTGAATATCCATAGCCAATCACTGACGCGATGTTACCCAGTGTGATATGAACACTGTTTAATCTCATAAGCCCCGCAATATCTGTCCCCAGACGCGACATAAACTGGCTTTCATTCTTTTCAAGGTTCTCAAGATCACCGGTAAAGAGATAGCGATGGATTCTCACAAACATAGTCATGGTAGCTTCATCTTCACAAGATTGGTTTTCCGCGAAGAAAAGTTGCAGGGAAGCTGTAGCACTTGGGAAAGGCTGGACAGAAAGCAAGGACTTGATGAGGAGAAAAAATCTGCAGAGGCCATCATCTCTTTTGAGAATACTTAGATGATGTTGTAGGCGGCCTGTTCCGGGACATTCTTCTGCTATCCTCTTATACCAATGCTCAGAACGAGCCCTCCAGGTGTTGATTTCAGGTTTGGTTGAACATCTAGCATGTGCCACCCTGTATGCATATCTAGAAAGATCGCCAAGAATCTCCATCGAACCTTGCCTTTCTGTAGAGTCACTTGTGCTTTCTATCAAAGGAGTTGAGGCCCCCGAGACCTCATCAACAAAAGATGTTAGCTGCTTGAAGTGCTTCTCACTTTTTCTTAAACAGTCACAATATGGGGTGATTTCTTGAAACCATATCCGTTGGAGAGCTGACCTCAGCTGCTCATCAGGCAAGTTTTGGAGCTTATCGCGTGCGGAAGATATCTGTTCATCAGTGCACTTCTCAATGCTATTTGGCAAGTCATATTGAATCTCAATGCATTTCCTTTCTGCTTCTGTAACATGACAGCACAGAGAAGCTACATCCTCCTTCAGTTGTTGCTCAGAGGGGGGGTTGGAATTGAGTTGAAGAGAGGCTGGTAGTTCAAGAACAGACACTGTTGATGGCGGCTTCAGATTATCCTTTTTCCCTTCAAGGTCACGGTTGCCCCATGCTGTCTTGTTCAAAAAGTAAGCGAAACGAAGAGAAATCGGAGGAGACAGGGCAACATATCACATGGAGAGTGCATGCAGTGTATATCTTAATAGCACCATGCAGGTATTCAAAGAGGATCGAAGCAGGTAGGAGGAAAATATCCGAAGAATGCTCTTGAAAATAGCCCAAGAACTTGACAATTTTGCTGAAGAACATCCAAGTGACAAGTAAGTGCAATGGTGAGCTGTGAAAGGGAAAGTTTTGGGTTGCCTTGTGGCAGAGCCATACCAGCGCCCCATCAACTATCAATGCAGGCGGTGAAAGTGTTGTTAGGAAAACTGCATAGGTGCTGTATGGGTGCTGCCTAAGAATTCGAATAGCAGGTCAGAACATCCAACCCAGAGAATGAAGAGAAAATAGAAACTAACCACCATATATATCGCTTCACAAATAGACTACGCAGGTTGCTTCTCCAGTTACTCCTGGCCCAGTGACAACACTGCTTTAGAAAGTTCAGGTTCTCCTCCAGAGTCATGAGAACTAAGACCTCTGGATGATTCTGAAAATAAGTTCAAAAACTGTTGCAGTCAAGCCACCGGGTCAAGAAGTTATCATCGTCGCAGGACAGGCTCCTCCCACACCACTTCTCAGCAAGAAATTCTTCAATGAAGCTCGGGTTCTGCACAATCTCGGTATGATAGGCAACTGTTCTCTCTGAAAGACACGGCACCCCTCCATCTATTTTTACCATGGTGGCACAGTCAAAATTCCTCCTTCAAAGATATAAGTCTCCGAGGAAACACCAAAGCCGCTGTGACAAATTTTGCACCGGATGACGATGTAGTCATTGGCATGTGGCAACTCCCCCCATTCTGCTGTTATTCTTAAATGGCTCGATGATCCATCGGAGAAGCTGCTGGGACCAGAAAACATCATTGTCAGCAAAGACAATGATCTTGCTTTTTGCTGCTCGAATTCCAGTCACCATCTGGTTCCTTTTGTTTGGTGTCTTCACAGCTTTCACACAAACTTCAGGCCGTGGTTGCATAGTGTTGACAATGCCATCAACTATTTCCTCCACCTGTCTCCGGTTCTCCTCCACAGTTATCAGAATGACCTCGCATGGGTTGTTTGTGAGAATCAACTCGAGTGCTTCTCTTTCACAGCCATCAAGGGTAGGTATAATCACTGTAACATCATTTGGTGTCAATTTGGAATCTGCTGTTGGGAAGAGAGGCTTGAAAGTGTGATATGCCCACAGGTTGACTCCAAGCCGGACATACCAATAGAGGCTTGACAGTCATGGTCAGCATCAACAGGATATTATGCTCAAAGCAAGAAAGACTTACAAAAGTATTCAAAAACAGATTCAATAATCATTCTTGATATGCTCCATGAATGCAAAGAGATAGGGATGTACAGATGGGAATCACAGTTGTCTGATCTATGTGCCTGGTTGTGGTATGGAGACAGTTTCAAATTTGTGAGTGTCAGGCTCTCATATTTATATCCATTCACCTAGCTCTAAGCTGATACGAGACTTCCGCACGATCGATATGCATGGCTGCAGCCACTACTCATTTAATCTGACAGCACTTGCAATTTTGGCCAACTAGCCCTACGCAACTTCATGTTCCGCGGTCTAGACCGCATTCTCTTCCTTCCGCATAAACACTTCTCAGGCATTGCTAAGGCTGTGATATTTCTTGCAACTTTCAAGGGGGTGATCAGAGCATGTGAGCCGGGTAATCCTTCTTCTCAGCTCGGCTTACGGTCCCACCATTTGCCTGAGTGGGAAAAAAAATCAAAGATTTTATGCTGCTAGAGATTTGGCTAGGGAACAGCAAAACCACTAATGCACTCTAGACACTGTCGCTGACTGTGCTTGCAGGTGTTACAAACAGAACCCAATCCATCTTCATATGCCTGCTGCACACTCTTGCATTGGCAGCAAAAAATCTCATCTTCTAGAACCTGCTTCTGCATTCTCACATCTGTCTGTATCCAGTTCAGTTTCCTTTGAACATTCTTTCACTTTCAATTTTCTTCCATAGCCCTTTGTTCTTGCTTCTCCAATGCTTGATTGGTAGTCTTGGTATGAAGTTCGTCTTTGCTCTTTTGCTTGCATACAGTAGGTGGTAGCTGCAATCTTGATTCAGGATACCGACACTTCTTGCAGGTATTTTTGACCCATTCCTCTACTTCTTCAAGAGCAGCCTCGGGATTCATTCTATATACATTATCCATGGCTGTTCTTCATGCAGCAAGGCTGCTCATCCGGAGTCTAGCTGAGAAATTAAGATCTATCCAAGGAACAAAGTTTGATTGACTTGTATTTTTTCTTTTAGTTTTCGGCCCGTTTGAAGCAGCTCTGCCCTACGCTCAGGTTCAGCTAGACTGGCCGGTGGGACCATGAATTTCACATTTGATCCCATTTGGTCTCATACATTTCTTGGCGTGAGTCCCACCAGGACCAAGCATTAAAAAAATCTGAAAATGAATCATTTCTGAGAGAAATGGTGTGAAAAATGACCAGATTTAATACAAGAACAGTGAAATGAGAGTAATTCTCAGAATAACCTATGAAAGATGATTATTCTTTTAAAATCAGAATAAGACTAAGACTGAAGATTAAAATCAGTCTCATTCAGTTCATTCAGTAATTACTTATATAATCAGAATTTGATAATGATTATTGATAATCCTCATGAAACAACTAAATACATTCTTATATAAGTTCATTCTTCACTTTCTCATGAAAACTACACTTCTCTGATATACTGTGATCAGAGATATTAAACTATCTAATAATTTTATATTTTATAATCATGAGTTTCTTGATTATTTCTTCTTATAATTGTTCTTAGTAATAGTAATAAATATCTTAGCTTGAGTTAAACTTTCACTTCATCTCATCTCTGCTAATGAAATTATTAGAATATTATATATTATCAGTATAACAGTTAAATATATACTCTTAATAATTTTTCATAACTCTAGAACTGATTTAATATATAAATTCATCAGATTACTTGAAGATAGTAGTTAAATTCAGTTTTATAAGTATATAGTTTTATCTGATTTTCAGTTGTAATTAATATATATAAGTTCTATTTCAAAGTTAGTATTATAGTTCTATATAATATAAAGTGTTATTAAAGATTATTATTTACTAGAGAATTATATTTCATTATCTTTACATCTTTAATATCTACTCATTTAAATCTCTGATAGTTGATATTATAGTAATCTCAGACTAATTTAATATATAAGTCTTATTTCTTCTCTATTCAATCTTGAGAAGTGTAAATATTAACTTAATAGAAGAAATCTAGTAGAGCTGCTATAATATAGTACTCTGTAAAAAATTGTTCAGTTTTACTGTAATAATATATCAGTTTATTTCTTACAGTAATAATAGCCTGTGCTATAGTATTATCTCAGACTGAATTTCTTTTTAAGTAATTTAACTACTTCTTAAGATAAGTAAATAAACTATTAAATACTTATCAGACTGACTGCAGTATTGATGTATAAGTAATTAAAACTGTCTTTATTATCTTATAAAACTGAAACAGTAAATCAATTATATATTTCAACTGAGTTCACTTTATATTAGAAAGTTTCAATGTCTGAATCTTTTTCTGATCAGAGTATTATATTTAATAATTAATTATCTAATATAATTGAAGAGTCTAAATAGTTATCTTATATATTAAACTTTACTATATTCTAATATTCTGTATTATATTCAGTGATGTGACTGATTTATTTATTTATTAAATATCATAGAATTATTATTATTATTTAGAGAAGATATAAATTGTATTAACAATGTTTCAAATCTGTGATATTTAAATTATTAGTCAATCTATTCAAAATTAACAGTAGTATTATTAAAAAGCATTATTAAAAAAAAATATTAAAAAGTATTATTAAAAAATATTATCTTTTATAAAGTGAATATAAAAGTTACTTAAGTAATCACTTTCATCTTATTCTTATCTCAAGAACTAGTTATCTCATTATTTATTATCTTAATATTAAGATTCTTTATCAGTGTTTATATTATAAGTTAAATGACATAAGTAATACAGAGAATATAACCTTGTTTATTATTTCAGAAATACAAAGTCAATTTTTACTTCAAGCTCTTTATCATAGTATAGTTATTTACAGTATTATCAGTTATAATTATAAAAAAACTGAGACTAATATCTTAATAATTATTTTTAATCACTGTTATTAATATCTCTATTATATAATTCTCAGTATAACTACTAATCAATGATTTAAATTCAATTAATATCTCTTGATAAGTTCAGTTCTCATCAATATAATAACATATAACTCTTATAAATGTAAGATTATTTATACTAGTTTATACATTCACTGTGAGAGATACTCTTCAATGATTCTTCAACTCTGATTCTAAATATTGTATAGTAACTTTGTTATATATCTTGAGATTGAATCAAAGACATAATCAATATGAAATATGAAGATTTGAATTAAGTATTTGAAGAAGTGTTCAGAATTCAAAGTGTTTAATTAATTGAAGAGAAAGATTCAAAGATATATATATACAAAGTAATTATTCACAGAAGTTATTAAATAAGAGTTATGAAATCAGAGTACTGATACATGATTATTTTCACATGATTTTCTTCAAATTAGAAAGTTAGTATTATTAAAAATTATTATCTGATAGAGTAACTTATCAGCTCAGTAGTAATTTTCTGATTATTTTTCTTTTATTATCTGCATTCTAATAACTTCAGATGTCAGAAAACTTTATCAGAGTTATAATCAGTTTATAATAAATATTTCTGAATAAAGTTACAGTAATTATAGTAGAGAGATAACTCTTCAGTAATCTATAATATAATCTATTAATAATTATTTCATAATTCATTTCAATATTTGTATTGAGTTTTTCATAAATTGTATAATCTGAAATCAGATGTAAAGAATGAAGTAATTATTTATTATAATTGAAAGAGAGTATTCTGTATTGAATTGTAAATAATATAGACTTTATAATTCACAGTAATTTCTTGAAGAGTTTATAAATCTTCAATAGAAGTTAAAGAAGTGAAAGAAGTGAATTCAGAAGATATGATAAAGATTTAAGAAAGATAATAATTTATTTTTAATAAAGATAATAACTGATCACTGATATATGTAAGAAGAATTATTATAAGAGAAAATAATCTTCTTTCTTAACTTAGTTATAATTTTAGTACTAACTCAGATTGAATATTATCAATATATAAAAATAAACAAATAATCTTGATTAATCTCTGTTATATTTCTTGAAATATATTAATATTATGAAAGAGAGTATTATTATTATTATTATTATTATTCTTTAATTATAGATGTATGCAGTCAGAGACTATGACATCTATCTGAGAACTTTTAGTTCTCAGGGTTTTTCCTATATCTGTAAAGTTAACTATTATACATTCATCAATTTCAGATATGCAAAATCAGAGAATTTCAGCTCAGAATACAAAAACTGTTTACAAATTG